TATAGAGGACAACCTTAATTATTTTTCTATAAATGTATTTTTAATCAATAAATAAAATAAATTTTAAATATAATTTTATCCAAACAATTCAAACACTTCAGTTAGCATTTCTTTTATTTTAGTAATTAGTATATTCAACCTACTCAATCAATTTGATTGTCACCAAACAGGCTTTGAATTTATAAAAAGAATAGTTTTGGCGGTTCTGTAATTTCTATTTCTTTGCTTGGGAAAGAGAGGAAAAAAAAGGACATACATACTCATAAAAGCTTGTTAGTTGTTACGGAGTACGTAGTATATCTATTAAGGGAAAAAAAACAAGGAAAGATTAGAGGCAAGTACATAAAGAAACGCACCACTAATACGAAAGCCTGTAGGTAGGTTAACAGTTAACTAACGGAGTGAATGGTTAATCTGGTATTAAATATATTAGACAAAATAAAACACATACATTTCAGCCAAAAGTACAAGCTTATATTAGCATATGATTACACCAACACATTTTTCATACCCAAAATATCCTTACCTTCATTCACCATTATAATATTTTAGATATGGAGTTGTAAATACTTTTATCACATAATAGAAACTTTGCCAATCAAAACTTGGGAGTGTGTAAAGAAAACATTCCACTTTTGGTGCCTATCTTTCAATGTTCTCACTTTAGATCCATGGTATGGCTTTCTTGTCAATTTTTTGTCACTGACTATTCCTTTAGCAAAAATTGACAGGAAGTTGTAAAATTGGCTGTAGAAATGTGATTTTTTGTGTTCCTCAGATACATTTTGGATTTTGGCAATATTGCAAGTATGTGCTATTGCGCAAATGGATATATCTTTGAATGGTCTAGTAGTGTAAATGGAACTCATAAAAGAATTCCTACTGGCATTCTAGTTTGAGTTGACTAAATAAAAAATGAACATTAAAGATTTAAAGTCATAGGTAGGGGGTCAGTGAATCCTTGTTCCTTCTTTAACCTATATAGTCTATTAGTTTAATAGTTCTGAGTTTTCAGGTTACCTATTTAGTTATCTTAAAGTTTTTTTCATTGAGAGATTTAGATAGATAAAAAACGGTGCATATGTGGCATGAGAGATAACCAATTAAAAAATAATAAATGGAATATCTCTCTCCTTATTTGAAGGATCTTGTATCATTTTGGTAAATTTTTCTTCACAATGTCAAGTACAATGTCTATATGTAGACATTGTGCTTGACATTGCAGAGGAAAACTTACCAAAAACACATAAAACCGTGGAAGAATGAGAGAGAAATGTCATAAATTCAATTTTTTGTATCTATTTCTCACATGCCACATGTGCACCGTGCACATTGTAGCATTGGAGATGCTCTTAGGGATCCCAACGCTACTTCCATCTATCCAAAAAAATTGGGCCAAAGTAAGAACTATGTTTTTTACTAACACCTGAAACAATAAAGTATAAGAAAATGTTTTTTGGATTTTGTTGTTAAATTCATATCATTTTATTAATTGGAAGAAAATCCTAAATAGAAAATATGTAGGTAAAAGAGTGGACTTCACAATGTATGGTAACCTCTTAGGCTCTTACAATAGAGTTAAGGTTTTTAGCAATTGTAAAAAATGTAGAAAAACTGTATAACTTAAAATTAAAATATTAATACATTTTCATTAACATAGCCAAAATCTCCAAAACCTATGTCCCAAATCGCTAGAATTCAATGACAAACTATAGAATATAATAACATAAAATAAAATAATAGAAAGCAATTAAAAAGAAATAATGGCACAAGTATGACCTCACAACTTCTATTAGGCATAATGTGATTGGATTTCTTTTTGACTGAAAAGTGGCTTCTCCCTTTTCTAAAAACTTGTTCGTTCCCCTTCTTCTCAAATTGTCTGCTCCCCCTTCTTCTCAAAATCGCCGGCTCCCCTTCTTCATTCCTTCTACGAACGAATTGAATCCCATGGACGGAGAAGGCTTCGATGTAGCAGCGCCAATCACCATCTTGCATCTCGCCTGTAAGCTCTGTTGCCGCCATGGAGGACAAAGCCACCGCCTTGAGATCTGCTGCCACCATGGACAGAGCAGATGGATCGCCGCCTCCGCCGCCCTGGACTTCGTCGTCCTCGCCCAGGCAGCGTCTCTTTCACTGTCGTCCTCTCCCTGAATTTTCAGATCTGTGATTTGGGTCATAGGGCGGTGAATTGAGTTATTGGCGGAGGTTTGGGATTGCCGTTGTGGGATGGCGGTTGGGGGCTAGGGTTGGGGACCGTCGGTTGGTTTTGGGGGTTGAGGGCTGGGGCAGGTCCGGTGGTGTGGCATGTGGGGCAGGGCTGATGGGGGATGGGGCACTGCTTGTGGGGCTGGGGCTGGGTTGATGACTGATGAAGGCACGGCTGGGGTTGGGTTGGGTTGATGGGGTGGTGCAGCCGTGCAGGGCTGTGGTGATGGTAGTGGGGGAGGGCAGGGAGGCGGGGTGTTGCAGGAACAACCCCCGTTGTGCCGGGCGGCTGTGGTGGTGGTGACTTAACTAGCGGGGTCTAAGGTGGACCGCGTCGCTAAACGAAAACGACCATAGTGACATGTTTCACGGCGTAAGTAACACGAGCGGTGGCTATAGTGACACGGGCGGTGACTACAGTGACACGGACGGTGGTTACAGTGACACAAGCGGCGGCGGCGGCAGTGACATTTGATAGTGACATTAAAACAGGATAGTGACATTAAAATCTGGGAATGACATTAATATGACCTTGATCACTTTTTTTGCCCCTTTTCAAAAGTGCTCACTTTTTTTATAATTGGTTCAAAATTAGTAATACTCAAATAAAAACCCCAATTAAAAATACTAAAATTGAAAAATAGAGAATTTTGATTTTTACAATTTATGATAGCATAAAAGTTTAATAAAATAGATTTTCATGAAAACATCTAGAATAAAGATTTCAATCGTAATTTTTTTTAATCACAATATACTTTTTGACATTACAAAGTGAAAAATTGAATAAAGGAAAATAATAACTTGTTAACACAACTAGGAAAAATAAATTGGAAAAAAGAAAAAGAATGAAATTTTAGTGAAAATAAATAAAAAATGACTATTTTTTTTAAGTTTAATACATTTGTAGAATTTAATGATTATTTTTACATGTTTAAAAATATTTAATTTGGAAATTTATAAAAATATTTTTATATTTTTCAAAAATTGAGAGTTGATAGATGGAATTAATAAAAGAAGATCAACTATAGTTGGGATCATTTATAGCTTACGCATAGTTCGTATTTAAAATTGACTTGCTATACCATGTTGTAGCAGGTTAGGGACTATTTTAGGGAAATAACCCCTATAGTTGGGACCACCCATAAATAATTGATAGTTGAGATTATTAATACTTAATAGCGCACTGGTAATAATTGGGATTATTATTTTCAATTTTTCCTTTAATTTATTGTTGTATTTGTCTATAGTATAGGCCTATTTAATACAGTATTTATAAGAAAACTAATCATGTTACTTTTTTGGATGAAAACTAGTTAAACATTATTGATGAAATCATAATCCATGGAAGTCGTAATACAAGATGGATAATTATAAAGCCAAAAGCAGCCATCAGAGAATGAAACAGCAGCCTCTGTTAGTCTGTTAGATCGCTTCATACGAGAATAAGAAATACTAATAAAACTAGTTGAGATCTTTCCTTTATATTAAACCCAAGATGAGTCATCCACAGTAGAAGTAATGCTTTTAACAACTCAACCAGCTGAGCGCCTTCCTGATGGAAAGAGCCTCGGTTGCCTTTAGGGTACCTCCAAACCATTTGTGTGCTCCACAGTAACAAAGAAACCCTCACTATCCCACACCACCTAGGGGTGGACTCGGGCCGGGCGGCCCGGCCCGGTTACTGTTTGGCCCGGCCCGGCCCGGGGCCCGGTGGGTCCACCGGTTCGGTTCGGCCCGGCCCGGCCCGGCTGCTGGGCGGTCCGGGCTCGGGCCCAGTTTTTGGTGAACCGGCCCGGTTCGGGCCGGTTTTTAATTTTTTTTTTTTTTTTTGAATTGTTTTTAAGTTTTGGGTTGGATTAGGTATTTTGGGCCATTTGAGGTGGTTTGGGGTGGTTTGGGGTTGAGGGGGAGGGGTTGGGGGTTAAATAGAAGAGCCAAAAAAAAAAAATTAGAACCGGTTAGGCCCGGCCCGGCCCGGTTTGACCCGGAACCGGGACCGGAACCGCCCACCGGCGGTTCGGGCTCGGGCCCAACTTTCCCGGCCCGAGGCCCGGCCGGGCCCAGGCCCGAACCGGGCCCGAACCGGCCCGAGTCCACCCCTAACACCACCCAACCCAGACCACAAATATTGCCGATTAAAAATGATCCATCCGAATTCAGCTTCAACCGACTCAATTCTGATGTGCTCGTCAAGCCCCCACTTGTATGCTCCTCCTTCGAGCCCCCTCCTAAGCTCTGCACCACCTTTCCAAAAATAGGGATGGACCCGGGCCGGTTCCGGTTCAAGCATGGGCCCGGCCGGGCTTTTTGGGAAGTAGGGAACCGGAACCGGCCCGGGTGACCGGCGGTTCCAGGCCAGGCCGGTTTCCGGTTCAATGTCATTTTTTTTTCTTTTGTTTTTCTAAATTACTCCCGACCCCCCCCCCCCCCCCCCCTTTCACCCGACCCCCCCCCCTTTCACCCCCCCCCCCCCAAACACCCAGCCCTACCCAGTAGAAACAAAAAAAAAATGGGAAAAAAAACACATTTGGCCTGAACCGGTCCCAAGACCGGGTACCCGGCTGGGCCCAAACAATATCGGGCCGGTCCGGTTCTGGGCCAGGCGGCCCGACCCAAGTCCACCCCTATCCTAAAAAGCCCTTGCATCTGGGAGGGCTATTGAGGTCCCTATCCCAAGCCCGTTTATCATTCAACAAGCCTGCCACATTACATTCTTCAAGCCCTTGAACAACCACCGAAGAGGGTCATGGATTTAAACTTTAAAGCACCCAATAACCAAGGATCCATCCAAATATTCACCAACAAATCTTGTAACTATTTACTAATTTATTCAAAGTAGTTTCATGTATTGCATTATCCTAGATTAGTTATTAAATATTACGTAGCAAAAGAAACCTCAAATTTAGCTAATAAAATGGTTTTCTTCTTAAAGGATTTTCATCCATGAATATGGCTTGGTGCCTCTTCTGATTGAAGACCAGCACACCATATTTAGAAAAATAACCATAATTCTATGTAGAGTACAAGCTGCTCATTACATACATGCAAAAATGTCAAACAAAAAGGGCAGAAATGAGTGCATGGTTGGTTTTAGGATACACACAAAACATTCAACCACGCGCCTTCTTTCGCTTTTTCTGCATTGTTGCAAATTTCAAAGGAACAGGAAGTGTGACTACAGGAACTTTGTTGTCACGAATATATTTGCAACCTAGTAACTCAAAACGAGGCCTTAACTGTGCCTTGGACATTCTGAGGTCTTTGGCTATGTCGAATGGATCAGTTCGGAAGTTGTCAACGTAGAGAGTAAGAACAAGTACATAACTGATGAGGAGATCAACTTTTTCAGCAGGAAGTCTCTTCGATTCTGAAACACCAAACATTGAAGAAAATTTTTGGAACAACATGCCAGGAATTTTGTGACTCTTTGCAGATGAAAAACCTTCTAGAGAGTGTTTGTCCTTGTACTTGACAAGATGTGTGATGTATGAAAAGACTCCAGCCAGCTCCTGCTTCTTTGTATGGTCCTGTAAAATTTTAGAGAGCGAAAAAGATGAGATTGACTTGAATAAGGAAGAGACAAATGGCACTTCTCTATTGTTTGCTAACCAAAGAAGTGGGAAGGACTGAAGGAGAGATTCTTTTTATTACATTCCATACAGAATTACATTCCATAGAGATATAAGAAGTATTTTTTAGGGAAAACTGTCAAATAGGTCCACTACTTTTCATAAAAAGTCAATTGAGTCCACCTACTGTTTTTTGAATCAATCAAGTCCATAAAGTATCAAAAAATAATCAAATCGACTTTTTGATAGGTTAACAACCGGTTACCCGGTGAAAGCCTAGGTGGATGTCACAGTTGGCATTTTTTTACTGTTTTGAAATCTTTTTGCTTTTCTTTTTCCAAGTTCTTATCTCTCTTCTTGTTTTCCTCTTTCTTTGTTCTCTTTCTTCCTTGACCACCCATTTTGCCGTCTCCACTCCGTCTTTCATTTCTTCCCACGCCTCTGTTTTCTGCCACCACCTCCTCCCACTACAACAACCTCCTCCGACCACCAAATCGGTGTCCCGGCTTCCATAGCTACCATCTTCGTGTGCAGCCTAACCTCCGCCACACTACATCCATTCACACAATCACACGCACCTTCTCAGGCCACCACACCTGTGGCCTCAACCTCCGCCTCCTCCATTGGAGAGATCTACCACCCCCCGAAATCCGTAGCACCCACCTCCGCCCCATCCATTAGAGTGACGCCTCCAAGTCTTCAACCACCCAGCCAGGCATCCATAGCCACCCACCTCTGCGTGCGGCCTCCACCTTCTCCGCCCCTACCTCCATACACGCTACCTTCGGCCACCACCTCTACGTTTTTTTACTCTGACTCATAGACGGGTAGATCTTCTAGGGAGAAGATCGAAGGAGAATGCGAGCTTGAGGGTAGGAGAAATTGAAAGAGGGGAAAATGTTACAGTACGTTGAATAGAGAGAAAGGAAAGAGAATATAATTCATCCAAATAAGAGAGAAAGGAAAGAGAAAAAACAAAAGAAAAATAAAAACTATAAAAAAGGGTAAAAATAGCCAGCTGGATGCACACGTAGATGGACAACCGGGTAACCGGATGATAACCTCTTAAAAAGCCCATTTGATTATTTTTTGATACTTCATGGACTCAATTGATTTAAAAAATAGTACGTGAACTTAATTGACTTTTTGCTAAAAGTAGGTGGATTGATTTGACAGTTTTCCCTATTTTTTATAATTACACAAATTTTTTTCTTTTCTATTTCATTCATTTCGTTCCTAACAAACAAACGCACAAAACCTAAACTACCCTATTTTCATCTTCTCCCTCTCTTTCTCACACAATTTTCTCTTCTCTGTTTCTTACCTAAACCAAAGGGATAATGGATGTTTACTGTGGAGATAATGTTGGATTGCATAATTCAGATAAACATTATCATTTGTTTACAAATTACAAGCAAGGTTAACTACAATTAAGTTAATTCAAAAAACTAAGTTACTCAGCATTTCTCTTCAAAAAAAGAGTTACTTAGCATTTTAGCAGCTCAGTGAGTCTGGTTACTCTTAGTAACTCAGTTTTAGTTTTTTTTACAGTAACTCAGTTTTAGTTAAATGGGAAGGAATTATAATAAAAATTGAATCATTATGAGATTAAAATAAACTAAAAGACTTCAATTCAACAAAACCTTTAATGAAACAGTTTACTAGGTTTAAAATTTATAGAACTACGAATTCTGATGTAAGATGTGTTAGTTGACATGGAGTAAGTTGTAGATAAAAAGATCTAGAGCGCAAAGATGATTAATTTAGGATATAAAGTCATGATTGATTAGATATTGAGATCTTATTTTTATTTTTTAAGCATTATGAACTAAGCAATATTGATGATTAATTGTTGTTGTTTTTGTATATAATACTAATAAGATAGGCATAAAATAAATAATTACTAATAAGATAGGCATAATTAGGATTTTGTAAAGTACTCTGTATATTTTACCGAATAGCTAACTACTTGTATTTATTGGATAAATGTTTCCGCATCCTAAAACCCATGATAAACTTTGGGACTATATGTGTGATAGCAATCCCTTTAACCAAAAGTGTTACTCATTCTCATTTTTCATAAGGAAGACCTTTTTTGCTCATCATACCCTGTAGATATACACACAGAGATACAGTCATGTTTTTGTGCATATGTACTGGAAAAAAGATCAAGTGCAAATGCTATTGAAAATAAGATGAGATTTGAGCACTAAATTTGACATTTACCTTAATATCTGCCAATGTATGCACTCTGTTGCAAACAAAGCTTGGAAAACAATCAATGCGAAAAGGTTCTCCCGCTTCTGAAAGGTCAATGATATCTGAGAGGCAAGCCCATTCTCCCTTGGAAATAATCTTGTCCAAGGGATATGCTGTCTCAGGTGTAGTGGCAGCCATATTGTATGGTGGTATATTACGATCTTCACCGATTGTGCCAATATTTTCAAGTGCATTTTGATTTGTGAGTTCATTCCCTTCAATTTCATGATCTGCACCGGCATTTGCATGTTGAATTAAAGCTTCACGCTTCAAACTCTGCAGAAGCAAATAATTATTTTCTCGTCATTATATAATCACATTGTGAATTCAAAATCCAAATGAACTAAAATGATATAATTCTTTTTTATTCTATATAAATAAAAGTAGAACAACTCATTCAACTTCACTACTTCAGAGGCAGAAATACCCTTCTTATAGCTCTTTTGGTAGAGTAGGCCGCTGTTAAAGCATTGGTTTTTGCTGCCTTTTCCTCTGCAGTCATTTCTTGCTTGTCCAGATTGTCTTCATCTTCAAGTGTGTCAGGTCCTATCTTGGGATCCAACCTGATAATCTACAGTTAGAGAGAAAATACAAAATTCATGAGTAATTAACAAACATAAGACGATATATTATCTCATAAGACTATCATCAATAAAAACAAGTTGCAAAATTAACCTTGTTTCCAGCAATTGGAATGATCTTAAGTGTTTGAGTCTCCTTGTCTAGAACCCCAATAGAGTAGTGACAAAGCTCTGCCGCTGTTGCCTCACCGGAATAATTCGTACCGACAAAATTCACATGCGACCCGCCAACGACAAGCTGAAACCTAGTAGTCCTTTTCCTATTTCTAAACAAACTAAACCTGCTTTCCTGTTGCTCGATGTTCTCCGGATCAGTTTCCTCCGAGCTTTTTTTCATTGGATCATAGCCTGATGGAAAGTAACCGACAATTGGATGGATCTTATCTGGGTCTGGGCTCAAAACTTCAATTTTTACTGTCATTTTTTCAGTCTCTTCCACTTTATCTGACTCCGTGATGTTCGCCTTAATATATTCTGCTTCTTCAACCCCATGATCTGACATGGGGTTTTCCATACGCAGCTTCTTCTTTTCCTTCTTACCCATGGCTCTGTGTACAATGAATAAGTGAGCTTTAGATCCCCTTTTTGTAATGCTCCATATACATATATCCTAATTCTGGAAACCCTCGTTCTAATAGGGTCGGGTCCTAAGGCCTAAAATCCCAGTTCAACGTTATGATCATTAACTTTATCATCATTAGGTTAAACCATTAAAGGTACCTAAATAAAACCAAAACATAGCATCTCTACATATATATATAAAATCTGGACGGCCTGAGTTAACTGTTCCCGCCTGAAAATGATGACGACACGGTGATGTCATCACGGGATGATGTGCAGAATTTTGGCTCTCCTCCGTACGAAAGCTACACTGCCAGCGTATTGGGTGGTCATTGAATTACAGCTTATTACAACTCCTTAATTTAGAATCGTTTAAATGAAAGAACAGATAAAAAAACGAAGCTCATAAACGCTATCTAAGCTTGATCTATTCACTGCTGATAAGATAAAATAAGAAGACAGTTAGTAATAATCGACTAACCTTAGGACATTAGACGAACGGCCGGCTTGAGGGGAAGAGGAGCTGGAAACGGATAGAGCAACGACGACAGTCTGGCTGAAATCGGATGAATTGGTACTCCGGTAGGTTATTCCAGATCTTGGGCCTGTGATTTTCTAATTGGACTGGATCAAACACTTTGTTCCAATGAAACTTTTAATCATTTAGTTTAACGAATTTTTTGTTGCTTTTTTGTAGCTATATGGACATATGGTAACATTAAATGAGTTGAATCTATTGAAACTAATAAAATTCTAGTAATTTTATATTACTTTAGTAATTTACTGATTTGCGGAAATTTAATATTTAAAATACTTTTTAATGATAAATAAAGAAAGTGTTGTTTTAAATCAAGTAAAGTGAAATTTCTCTTTCAATTATCTTCTCTCTAGGGTTGCCGCTCGGCCCCTTAGAGTAGCTATCGATTTTCCCATTTTTCGTCGAGGCCGAACTACGGCGCGAGGACGTGGTCTGGTGCGGGTCTTGGCTGAAGATGTCAGCAGCAGCGAGGACTTGGGAGTGAACATCGGTGCTTCTCGTTAACGGTGGTAGTGAAAGGTTTTGGCAGAGCCCAGCAATGTCGAAAGGGACGGAAGATGGATGCTTGGCCTTTGGCGGCCACAGGTCATGGACGAAACGTGACACTAGAGGCTGGAAAAGAGCTGGATTCAAGGTCATCTATGTTAGGCGGCGACAGAGGAGACTTGATAGAGAACATGATGAATAAGAGGCAAGGTGAGGTAGAAGCTACAGTACTGTTGGATCGTCCCCCTCCTGAACCGCCACCATGGAGTGCAGAAGAGTCTAGAATTTGGAAGCATCTTTTTACTTTTACTTTTTTCTTGGGATTTATTTTTCAAAATTAGACTGTTTATTTTTCTGTTGGTTATTTTTATTATTGTAAGACTCTTGCATTAGGTTTGGGGGATGAGAGTTCTGCAGTAACCATTATTGGCTCAATTATGCCCATTTTCGGATCAGCGAATTATATTGTTTTGTCAAAGGTGATTAACTCAGAGTCTGCCCCAAGTGTGGATGGTTGCTTGTGCTGCTTTTGTTATTTTAGCCCCTTTCTGAATGCTATGATTTTAATCTAAGCCTCATTCTTTCAAAAAATGATAAATAAAGAAAAAATCCACGGAAAATAACTACAATGATTTTTTATAGTAACGTCATTTAATTCAATCATAAAAGTAACTTAAAAATAACTTATATTGATTACTCTATATTATATAGTTATATAATTTAGGGTACAACATCAAAAGTTATGTGTTTGATAAACAAAGATGATTGATAGATTGATAAGTTGAAAATGTTAATTACCAAACATGTTGTTTATATCTATAAGATGCAAAGTAAATGTTAAAATTATCAATAAAATTTTAAAACTAATATTGTGTATGTTTTAAATCTCATAAACTATTCTGAAATTTAACATCCATGTAAAAATCACTCACATCAACAAGTATTGAATGTTTAAAGAAATCATAAATATTGTTTTACTGACAATCTATCATTTTGTATACATCTTATTTTATTAATCTTAAATTTTAGAGTTCATTATAACTATCACTTTTTATATTGACAGCTATATTATAGAAAATGTTGTATAATAGGTATTAATTTATTTGAATTAATAAAGTTCTCCCATTAAATTTCAATGTTATTGAGAAGAATTGGAAGATGTGAAATCAAAGCGTGGGAAGTTGGAAAAACATTTAAAGATGCTGCTACCATATTGGCAATTAACAACGAGTATTAATCAATACGGTGTTTCATACTTTTCCACTTCTACTAATAACGATATATACACCTACTTTTCATATTAATTTTTAAATTTCGATCATTTGATGTGGATTGGAATCATTTGTATTGTTTAATTGACCCAAAATCACATTGAATTTGTAGAATTTTGTAAACCAAAAATACGCCTTTCAATGCTTCTTCTTCATACGCTACGACCCTCAACATGTTATAAATCTGGTTATATTATAATATAAAGGTTTACATGTTCTACTAACTCATAAATCAATAAACGTATTCCCTCCGTTTCACATAATCCTATTATTTCAGGTGACACTTTTTCATTTTAATGAGGCATATACACCTCAATTATTATGTCTATGTTTCAAATTTTGATTACTTTTCTTGACAACACAGTATTGTATAGACATTTCATATTTGAACATGGGACATCTACTTTATATGTGTCAACGTTGAGGAGCTGCTTTTTTGTATTATGAAACATTGATGTCCTCTTACAAATCGAAATTTTATGAATAAAGTTATCGTCGATGAAAGACCTCATCAAACCCTATCTGATCTATTATCCGATGGTGACAAAAGGAGCACTCATTTTTCACAAAGCATACGAGCATATATTAGATGTTTCTTCCGCGTCAATGCGAGGAATGAATAATGTTAATCACAATATTGGCAAGTCTCTTCCAATTTTCAAATTACATTGACAAAACTACTATTTGATCGAAAGTCTGATGTTACAAGACAATGCTTTTTCAATAGTTATTACTTTTTACTTGTAATGAATTATGAGTCATAATATATAAAATCAAAGGTATTTCAGTGTTCTATATTCTCAAAATTATAGGAAGTCGGCTGACCACCCTGACCTCCCTCTTTGCTCTACCTCTGCTAGCAGCAATCATGTTATGGCACTGGAAGGGGTATTAATGGTTCTGGAAGCGTGATCGATGGTGATCGGTAGTGATGGTTTAGTTCATGTTTTGTACTATAAATAAAGTAACATAATTTTATACGTGGAATGATTGAATGACAGTCTAAGGAAGTAACCACTTTGCATTTACAATAAATTACATTGTTGGTTGGATTTGTAATTTACTTTCAAGTTGTGTGTGCAAAGGACATGGAGTGCTTTATAAAAAACATCCAATGTGTTTTATCACGCACCCCCAAATACATGGTACAATGCAAAATATTTTGAAAATTATTATCTTACAATTCACATTAACTAATCAAGTCAAACAGTGTATGTAAACATTTGCGTCCCTACATTTCGCATGTAAAGTACTCCCTCCGTCCCATATTTATCTTCACAAGTACATTTGCACACAAATTAAGATAATGTAAAATGTGTGGTGGAGAGTTGTGCAGGAGAGAGAGAAATGTGTAAGAATGGTTGTTAACCACAAATTCTTTGCCAGAAAGAAAAAGATGAGATAAATTTGGGATGGACGAAAAAGGAAAGTATGAAGATAATTCTGAGACGGAGGGAGTAATTATTTTACATCCCACCAAACGTCTTCTAAAGGTAAAATTGGGATATCAACCCTTATCTGACGAATTACTAGCATATATACTCTTATTAATACATTTACTTATTGTCCTAAATAGGATTAAAGATTCCCTAAAAAGCACAAATAGGACTACTACATTTTAAATCCCCCAAATTGGACTAAATATTGATTTACTACCCTAAATACCCATAGGGTATTAATTCATAATGAAGTGTTTTAATTCATAATAAAATCATAAAATTTAATAAAAAGTTGTAAAAATAATAATAAATTGAAAATAATAAAAAAATATATATATAATTGAATATAAAAATTTGAATTAAAAAAATGTAAACCCCCCAAAAAATGCGGATACCTTTCCCACCGCCTCCAATCAGTGAAAATTCTGTCATTTTTTATAAAAAAAAAGTGTCATTTTCTTCTGAAAATGCCAAGAAAATGGAATTATTACTCTTTATTATGCCAAATGTTTCATTGAATTCGTCATCATTATGACATTAGTAAAAATAATGGCAGATTTCCTCCGTTGATTGGAGCTGGTGGTGCTGGGGTGGCAAAGGCGGCAATGTTTTTCTTTTTACGATTTTCATTGTTTTTAATTTTGTTTAAAACAAAAAAAAATATTTTCTAAATATTTATTAATTTGTTATTATTATTTTACTATTATTATTATTTACGTTTTTATTATTTTTTATGATTTTATTATTAATAAAACATTTCAAAAGTTATAAGTGTATATTTGTCCAAACACACATAAATAGTCCTACTAATGTGATTTAAAAAATGTAATCCTATTTATGCAATTTTGTCACTTTCCGCACTTGTATATTGTCACGTGTTATTTTATAAGTAGTATTAATTAATGTAAATATTATTTTCAATCCTTCAAATCGGTTCATTGAGGAAGAACCTAGCTAGTGAATCGTTAATCATGTTAAGATTGTTGACGAAAAGTCTAACATAACGAGAAGAATGTACGTAATTATTATAGGACTAGATAATATTCCGTATTTTATTTTATTTAAGTGACAAGTACAGGACTTGGACAGTTCGACCTAAACCATAAAAAACCAGAATACAGGCAATCAGGCACAAAACTAGGCTCCAATATTCACACCCTATCAATTTCATTGCTCACGCGACTTCATCTAAATTTCTTTATTTAATAAACAACGTGTAGAGTACTCAATAATAACATGATTTTTCGTGTTTTATTTTAAGAATGAATATAAGTGTGACAACAAATAATGCACACACCTAGAAAGTCTTCGGTCAAATGATTGGTTTTAAGGATGGTTCGATTACACAGCATAAATCTGGGTGCACAGTACGCGGTATTATTCACTCGGTCTTACACTTGCTAGTTGCTAGGGTACATGTGAATTATGCTAGTATAAAAAAACGTATCCCATCCCCACCAAAAACTCAAAATTGCATCCAAACTCGTGGCAATGGATCGTTTACATTATCATTCACAACAAAGTTAAAAACAAGATAAATTTCAATATTTCATACATACGCATTTGTGGTGGGTGTGTGGGCCGTTTGTACGTTCAAAATAAGTGAAATTGGAGTTGTTATTTTGGCCGAATTGACTGAATTTACTATAGAAAATCATTTTTACTATTGTATACAAGTTTTTCTTTATTGTATACATAAAATATATTTTAAATATACTCCCTCCGTCCCAGGGAGAAGTTCCCGGGTTGACTTTCACACATATTAAGGAAATAAAGTTACTGAGGGGTAAATTTTACTGTTTAGCACTATTTCGACACTGTTTGACACTGTTTGACACTGTTTTGCACTGTTTGGCACTGCTTTGATGTAATATAACTTTCCATTTAGGGAAATGAGAACTTTTTGTTGGGACTACCAAAAAA